CCCGGCACCGCGCTGGGGAGAGGGGTGCTCCCGGCGCGTTCCGTGCGCCGGTCCGCCGGCGAGGGTCACCCTCTCGCAAATGAAGGAGATGTACCTGTTCCGATTTCCCTGCTTGACTGGAAGGCTCCTGGAGCAGAGCTAATGCTGCTGCAAACATTCTTGCTATTTTAAAACAAACTGACTTCACTTCTCTGTTTTCTTTCCTCGATTACCACTAGAAAGAGGTGTTACAGCTGACACTAATGGCTGTCGGGAAGCTTAAGCTGAAAAACCTATTTTACCCGGTGAGCTGTGGTGCCAGCTTCTCGCCTGTTTGAACACCATTGACTACAACATCAGCAGCCAGCAGCTCCCACCACATTTAGCGACAGCCAATACCGAAACCAAATACTGACTCTGGTAATAATACAGCCTTCCCTAATCTTGATTCGACTATGCTGTCCGTCAGCTCCGTGTGCCAAGAGGTACGAAACACGTCAGGGAACTCTGGCTCCCAACTGAAGGCCCTGTAACAGCTACCAGGTGTTTTGAAAGAGCTTGGAAAGTTGGGGACATGTTTGTTGCTAGGTGGCTAGGAAACATTTGTCTCAAAAACCAGCTTGGGGTCATCTGAAAGCTCTGAGCAGAAGTTGACCTGAGCAAAGTCAATCAGAGTTCATGAACGTGAATAGAACCCCGATTTTATCTCTACCTTAGATTATGTCAAATAACCCAGTTTAATAGCTAAGAGCACAGAGGATTTCTAGTCCTCAGTATAAGGTATAAATAAAGGGGTAGTTTTAGTCCCATTAAAACATGCCTAGACTTCTCTGGCTTTGCCAAGATTTCATTTTTTCTAAGCTCTCTCAAATGACAGGACTAAAAGAGAAACAGTAAAATCATTCCATGTAAAGTTTTAATCTGCTGTCACACCTGCCCCAAGATCTTCATTATTCAAAGAGCAACGATTCTTCTACACTGTCTCTACTAGTTTTGTCTTTAAAAGATGTTTATTTCTAAGTCTATGGATGAGCCTCAGGGTTTCTAATAATCTAAATTTGTTATATGTAGTGGATGCTAAAAATCTTTCTTAATGCTGTTTATTTGCCTAGAAAAGGAATCTGACCATGAGCCTCTGTGAAATTACAATCTCGAGGACTTACATTCAAAGCAGTGGCAGTCAGAAGTAATGCCAGAAAGTACAAAACTGATTTTTCAGGTGTATATCACACCTTGTGGCAGTGCATAAGTTGGTAGGTTACCTGGCAGAAATCAGTGCTAAGACCAGTGCTATCATCTTCAAAGGATCACCCTGTTCTTCAGCTTTCCGTATTCAAGGAAAACTGGGGCTCCTAGCCATGGAGCAGTGAGGGTCTGAGCAGCCATCAGGTGGGACTAGTGGAGATGATAAACCAAATCATGCTTCAAGATGAAGAGCGATAAATTTTTTGCTGGAACCACCTTGCTGGATTTGATTATTCCTGAAGTCCCTCCCATTTTTCTACATATACATGGCCAAAAAAGGCTTAGTCCCTGGGAGTTTTGTCTAAGGAAACATTCCTTACACGAACCCCACGTAAAATGAAGAGCTGTTTGTGCTAAACTGAGCGGACCAAGACTATTTCAGTTGCATTATTCCTTTGGCAAGACATGAGCGTATTTCCATGCTAGAACTGCAGAGGACATTACCGAGACACAAACCGATTCACTGCTGTTACGGAAGGATCTTGCATGCTGATCAAGATACGAACGCAATCCTTGCCCAGAGCACATTCTTGATCATCTCCCAGGCTGGTTGGAAGAACGCAATGTAGCAGCAACAGGAGTCAAGCAAAGCATAGACAGAAACTTCCAGCACCCATGCCCCCCTTTTCTTTTTCCTCTCCCTCATAGGGCTCCCTCACCTGCCCCCCACGTCCCGGACCCTCCTTACCTGGCTCCACCTGATCGGGTTCGTGCCGAGTATCTGTGGAATCTGCTGCATCACCGCTCATCTTGATCTCTGGAAAAGGAGGCACAACTGATTTTAATAACAGGTCACAGTCCCAGGCAACAGGCACATGTGGCTTCCACTAAACAGCGCAAATGAATGTGTAATTATAATAAACCATCAGACTTTCAAATTTCTGATTCCTCAACATACAGTCACTAGAATATTCATCAGCTCTGAGAATGCACTTTCCCTCCTGTTGCTCTTTGCATCCCCCTCTTTCCTTTCCCCCTCCCCAATTTGCTGCCATGTTCTCACCATTCCTCTCCCACACAGAGGATGAGGGGTTGTTCAGCCACCGCCGGCCCTCCCAGCCTCTCCTAGAGCCTTGTGCAGGCTTCCCAAAGCAGCTGGTGGGGCTCTCAGTTTGACACCATCCTGCACAGCACCTGTAGAGGCAAGGGATCTCCCAGCTTTCCCCTCCTCTCCTACATCTTTCCCTTGTCCCAGGAGACGGCTCAGCCAGGCCAGCGCTTGGTGCCGTAAAAAGCGCACGCGGGGAGGGCTGGTCTCAGAAAGCCAGGCGCAGAACAAGATGCTCTGAGAGAGGGAAGCAAAGTCTCTCTTCTCCTCTCATTCCCTTGCAAACTCAGCTTGTCTCAATACACCTGATCCCTAGCTGCAAACTCTTTACCCTGGTCTCCCACATGCAAATGCTCACACCCCTTGCAAACCACAAAGAAGCTGTCTTGTTCCAAAACACTGTCCCCAACCCAGGAGCAAGAAGAGTACTTTGCCATCAAGCTCCTGCATATTTTCCCCTATCCTTATTAATGCCAATAAATTGTCATTTACCCTTGAAGTGATGGGTGCTTCCACACCCAGGGCCACGTTCTCCTTCGGGGACAGCTGAAAGAAAAGGTGGGAACAGTCAATTTTACACTGGATTGCTCATCTCCTCCTTAAAAGAGGTGAAGTCCACACCAGTGAAAGAAGCAAGAATATCTGTTCAAATTCAGATGGACACCCCCTCAGCTCTTCTACCCTTTGCATGGGAATTTTAACTCTTTCCAGGCTAGTTGGGAAAAAAAAGATAATAATTTTTTATAAAAACCCAACTGTTTTGCATGTCCTTCCTGCAGCCAATCCCGGCCACAGAAGTCGTCCAATTTGCATTGGGTAATAACAACGGTGTGGAAGCTGGGCCAGTGTTTGCTGTGGTTTTTCTAGGGTAGAAAAGGCAGGTGGAAGGCTTCTTAAAGGCATCATGCAAACCTTTTCCTCTTTCCTATATGCCTTGTATTATTTCCAAACGGCCAAAAGAGTAAGAAGAACCCTATAGGTTTTTATACCTGTTTCCCTCTATCACTCACACTAAAACAGGCAAGCCTTTTTGTTTGTTTGTTCAGGTTTTCTTTACCCCTATTCAGACTTGCAGTGTGCAACTGACAGATTATATTATGTTCGGCCAAAATTGAATAGCTTTGTTTAGGTTAAGGTTTGAAACTTCTTCTTCAGCCAACAAATGAAGGGAGAAAAAAGGACAAGATTTTACACCAGAGACAGAAACACTCATATACTTCAGAAACTTCCTTTCCTTGAATTGTATTAAGGAGTGAGGGGAAAAAGGAGAAAGAAAAGTGTTGTGGGATTTCCCCCCCCCCCCTTCAAACAAACCTTCTGCAATTAAGACATGAACATTTAGTGGGGCTTCTAAGCACTTTTACTCTAGGAAAAGTAATTATCACCAGCTATAAACATCATCTTGTCTTGTAATACTGCCAAGGGACCTTAACTTAGGCAATCTACAAAGCACAAAGTTTTGCTTTATGCCAAGAAGTATCTTAAAAAAAAAAAGCCAAGTTCTCATAAAATAAAGCAAGAAAAATCTTAAACCATGGAGCTGTTTGGTGCTTACTTTAGTGAGAGAGTCTGCAAGTCTGCAAAGAAAAGGTAATGCAGGTTTCTCTGTAAGCACACAAATAATGAATGAACGCATGTTAGTGAAAGAAAATTGTCTAATCCCCGAGACCAAGAAACAAAGCAGTTCAGACAAAGCTGAAGAAGTGAAGACACAAACCACAAGCAGCTCTTACCCTCTCAGAGGAGTAAGCTCTCAGCCCCTCTGCCATATAACCTCAGGTGGGCAGGAAGGAAAGAAGGAATCACAGCTGCAGCTTGGTTACATATCACAGTTAAATTCCCTCGTTATGGAGTCAGGAGATAACAAGATACCCTGTGATTCTCTCATACATAGAGCAGAAGAATTTTATTTTCACAAAGATTCAAATTCCCGTCATAAATGTACACAAGTTGTTACAGTTTAAGAAAACCCTTTTGCTCAAAGCCTACAGGTCTGAGTGGTTTGGGGCTGGCCAGCTTTTGTACGTCTATGGACAGCAGTGCAGCACCAGTCATCTTCTAAGGGGTCCTTGAGAACAAGGGGCAGGCATACAGAGGAATTACTTTTAATACGATAGAAGTGTGGCCAAGATAAAGGCAACACCTTTTTATTGACACCCAGGAGACTTCCACTATGAACCAGGAGGGAGTGAGGCATCTGGATTTGAAACTCACCCCCCATCTGACAAAATATCTCGAGACAAGACAGGCTGTGACACTTTGAGTCCAACTACATGCAGGCTCCACCATACAGCTTTGCTAGGTTGGCAATATACAGAGAATAGGCAGGTTAGTAAAAAAATCTCTGGGAAAAATAATGCAACTTAGGACTGCCTAACTCCTAACCACAGACCTATTAGGAGCCGCTGCTGCGGCCTGGGCCATATTAAAAATGTGGTGCTATACCTCAGCTAGCAAACATACCTGGAGTAGGGGTAGTCTGGTTTGTTCACCCAGACCAAAGAAACTCTACCAGTGCAGACACTTCTCTGGGGATATATCTGCATCTGTATTTTTGCTGAAACAAATGGTGTCAGCAAATAAAGGTTTCCCAAGCCCTTATTCCTCGTAGTTGTTCAGACATGGGCATTAGAGTAAACCAGCCTGATGACTTTAAAAGGAAAAACGAAAACCGGTGGGGGTGGGAACTCAGTTTGGCTGAGACCATTACCTGGAGTCTATTGAATTTCCTATGCTTTAGGTGCCCAAGCCCCTCTGGAAGCTGCAGGAAGGTGAAACATCCAAATGCCTGGAGAGGAGGCGGTGGTACAGGCCAGGGAACCACTGCTGCAGGGAAACCCTCTCAGCAGGGAGGAGGGCGTGCGGAGCCCGAGCAGCCCACCTTCACCTTGCATGCTGCGTCTTCTCTGCGCAGCCGGGGAAGAAACAGAGTACACCTCTGCAAGCAGCTTACTGCGAGGCCTTCGGGCTTACTGCAAGGTTCAGGGACCCCGAGACTGAACAGGCTGCACTGCTTCTGTGAAGAAACAGCCTCCCGCCAGTGCTGGGCTCTGGCACTTCAAGGTGCTCGCGCCCAGGCTGGTCTCCCACTCTGCAGAAAAAATGCTGAAACCTTAGGCCCTTCTGACACCTGGCAGGGTGCGATGATTTGTTAGAATGAAAGCTCAGTGCGCACCCAGCTCTGCGCAGCTCCTGGCCAAATCCTCGCTGGGAGTGATGCCACTGGCTTTGACAGAGGGCACAGTATCGATTTTGGGAATCTTCTCATGAAGAAAGAGTCACCCACAAGCAAAGCAGATGGGTGGATAGGAGCCTGACGGGGATGCGTCCCGGAGAGACACCACACACAAGCACACCCATCGCAGGTGCTCAGACTAGTCAGGCTGACACTCTGAGCCAAGGCCACCAGCGCTTGCCTCCTGCAGCCTCTCCTGGGGGCTGGCCACGCCAGGGACTCCCCAGCTCCCCTCCCCATGCCTGGCACAGGGAGACAGCCTGCTTGGTGCAGTGCTTGCCAGCCTTATGGCTGGGCTCCTGGCATCCCAGAATCACAGGCAGGTTGCAGCGCAGCTGTGGAGCAGAGGCTTTGGCCATCTCTGCTGGCCTGCTGCAGGCTGACATTGCTAGACAATGGCATTGCCGCAGCATCTACTTTGTCCTGCAGGACTGCCTGTGAGCCCACGTGCAGGCAGGACCTGCTGAGGGGCTACAAGCACTGGGCATGGGCCCCTAGGTCTCCCTTGCACAGCAGGACCACCAAACCCCTGAGCTTCGCTGCTGGGTACCAATAGGTATGCAAAGGGAATGAGCCTGGGACAGGCTGATTCAGGTATCTACCCTCTCCCCTCCAAACCTGGATACAACATGCAGTGTCTCCTGCTGCACAAAGCACTGGACACCAGTCACTAGCAGGGCACATGGCTCTTGTACCCTCAACACTCTGCTGCCTGCCCCTGCCAGAGCAGAGGCTGTCAGGATCTGGCCTTCACTGCTGCCACCACTCTGCTCCTACCCCAGTGTCACCCTCAGCTCCGGCATGCCCAGGGATGCAGTCCTTCCCCTCAAGCATGGGGGCTTGAGCTGGGGACAGAAGCTAAAATCACTCTGTCTGGGTGAGCTGGAGCTCAGCACAGCTCCAAGGGATTTGTCAGTGATTGCTCTTGTTCCCAGCTAATTGCAGAGGGGAGGTCTGCTCAGAGAAGATGTGAGACTACCTAAACTGTACTGCTCGGTCAGACACCCTGGAAGGAGTCTCTCTGTTTATAAGTATCCCTGTTCATTCATTCCTCACTCAACCCAGCCTCTCACGGCTCCCTCCTCATTCATTTCTCCCTCCTTTTCCCTCTTTGTCATTAGCTTGTCTCCTTCCACCCATGTCCCATCTCGCTCGCTCGCTCACACACATCCCCACCCACCTACCCACCCCTCCACCCTTGTCGCATCCCTCTGTGAATTTATCCCCTCTCACTTCTCCCAGCTTTGTCCCAACGACATGACCCACAGGTCAGGCACTAAATGCTCATTTTCCAGCTGCCCAAGAGACCTCCGCACTCTGCTCGCCGACCCATGTTAGGGCTGGCAGCGTGAGCGGTGCGCCCACATTGTGGGCATGGCTTGGCAGCCCCCTAAATAAGATCAGGGCAGCATCCATCCCCAGGTAGGAATGTGGGCACTTAACGAGGCACTAGCTGTGATAGCCAACCCCAGCAGGGGAAAAGAGGAGCGAAAGGAGGGAGGAAAGGTCACAGGAATCAGAGCAATCCCATTTCCTGCCCAAGTCCACGGTTTCAGCTACGTGGTGAGCTCCAGCCCGATGCTTCCTCAAGTGCTCTTTACCTGCGTGCACAGACTCCAGGTTCACCATCCTGCTGGTGGAGGGAAATCCGCGGTGCACCCAGCCTCCTGCCGTCAGCCCCAGGTTGCCAGGGGCTGCCAGTTTGCCCTCCCTGCTCTGCCACCCGCT